GGGCGTCGGACTGCAAAAACTTCTCAAGAATTTTGTCGGACAATAAGATACTTTCATTTCAAATCTTATTACCAAACCCTCCCAGAAAAATCAGCTTGCTGGTTGTCACCAACCATAATGTCATCAAATCGACATATTTGGGATGAGGGACAAACTCAAAATACCAACATTTTTGTCAAACAAATTTTTTGGGGGGTTTAAAAAAAATATATCTTTCATTTAAACTTAAAAAAAATGCTGGTCATAACATTCCATGTTTATGCCAGATTGACATATTTTCCTGAAAATCATGGGAAAACTTACCACTGTTGAATTTTCCTCATAGTCAAATCTTGGGAGACTCGTCAAACTTAAGCTGCACTTAAAGTTACAGCTTGCTGGTAATCATTTTTTTCTTTGTACGTGGGCCCGTGGACTATAACTGCTGTTTATATTTTCTGAGCATTAAAATATCGATTTTTTGGCATATCTTCGTAATACTAATATTAAAATTTGGGATATACAGATTTGGGAATTGTTAAGATGACATTTCAATTATATGAAAACAGTGACTAATTTGACTAGGATTTTTTGTCTTGGTTCATATGAATATTGCTTGTGACGCAATGGAAAAGATACAGCGGTTTTAGTGTAGCTAACCTTAGAAGTACTGCTAATAAACAAAATTAGTATGGAGCCACTGTACCTTATTTCTCTTTTCTTTATTCACTTGTTCTGAATGCTTCTGAATGTTCTTATAAACTTTTTCGACCTTCTTCAAGTGTTCCACAGATTCCTGTAATAACCGTTCTCTTATCTTTGCATCTTCCTGACTGCTCTCTATAACTCGACGAGCTGCAAAGTCTAATGCAACTACCATTTTCTTTTTACTCTCTTTTTCCTTATTCTTCTTCGAATTAATCTTGAAATAGTCATTATCGTCATCAAAAACTTTGTTTTCTCGAGGTCTAAAATATACAACAATTGTTAATTTCATTTAACAAGACAAAGTGGGTAAGTTTAAACTCTTACTTCATGATAGATTTTGTTTTTCCACCATTGTTGAATGATTCTTCTCCTCTTACGGTTACCTAAAAATAGTATATAATAGAGTATATGCATATTTTATACTAATTATATTACAGGATTTCCACAGAAGAGACAAGGGCCTGGTCCTTCTTCCATACAGTGTATCTTTCCACAAACTAAACAATTGTTCATGAATTCATGTTCTTGACCTAAACAATCACATGGTGACCGACCTGCAAATGAAACAAGCAAATGATGCTTTAGTTTAATAATAAATAACCTAATCATTATAAACTAAAAATTTTTGTCTGTAAATGTAAAAAAATATTTTACTAACCATCCTTTTCCTTCTTTTTGGCTTGATACGTGTTGATATCTCTAAATTTCGTTTTGCCCTTCTTTTGATGTTGTGTTGAACGACTTTGACTATCAAAACGACTGTCGGTTTTCTGAGGAGCATTATTGGAATTCTTTTCATTATTTTTGTATCCCAAAATGATGTTTTTAATTCCTTCATATGATCTCATATGTGCACTGTTATTTTTGTCCAGAATGTTTTCCATAAATTCTTCATAATCTTCTTCATGTTTTATACTTTTTATATAGCTAATAAAAATAAAATAATACACCATAAGCTATTGTAAAACAATAACTGCTACATACCTCACAATATCACTAGAAACATCATTACCTATTATAACTTTTAAATATTCTACCAAAGGTTCTTGCTTTGTCATTTTGGAATTATTTAATATAAAGGATTTATATTAATTATATACCTACAATATACTAGATTCGTATTATTTTCAAAATTTCAACTTCCTTTCCTATTAGGACTATAGATTTGACGATTTGATTTGACTAATTTTTAGAAAGTTTATATTATATGTATATTTGACATTTGACAGTATATCTTGTCAATAATGTCAATATCAAATCTCTCTGTTCTGTGATACCACAAACCACAAACACAAAACAATATAATACCTACAAGGTCATTTTCCCTATACCAATTTCGAAACACCACGGACATGGTATGTACTATTATTAATTTACATTATTAAAAAAAAAACAAAAATCACTACATATTATAAAACAAAGTCCTCCGCCGCGTCTGTCTGTCTGCCTGTCTGCCTGCCTGTCTGTCTGTCTGTCTGTCTGTCTGTCTGTTCGCGATAAACTCAAAAACTACTGCACCGATTTTCATGCTGTTTTCACCAATGGATAGAGTGGTTCTCGAAGGTTTTAATATACAATTTGTTAAGTTTTTGTATAATTAACGATATTTGTTGGAGGTGTCGGAAAAAAATATGCCGTCTGGGATCTTTCAACGAAAACGCTGCTTAAACCCTTTGAGATATAACAAAATAATGTATGGTGGAATTGTGTATCTTATATAGGTCTACAGAAAAGTCAGCAATGGCATATGTCTATCTCTTAAGGAAAACATACTATAACCATTTTAATACTTTAAAAAATGGGCAATTATAAAGCGGTAATTGGAAAGCTATTTACACAAATACGGTATTAATCCTTATCATTTTAAATACGTTAGTTGGGTTGAGCATTTCATCAAGATTATTTTTCCCTATACACGTACCATGCAAATTAAATGAATACCTTAGGAGGTATAGCAAAATCAAAATAATGCACAACGAAATTAATTTCGTGTCGCCGTGATTCGACCGGACCGCGCGGGCTCCCCGTGGCCCCGCGCCTAGCGTCCGAGCCGGGGGGGTCCGAAAGTTTTTGTAGTGTATCAATGTATGTTGGAATTGTGTATCTTATACAGGGTGATTCAAAAAACCGATGACAGACTTCTAGGGTGGGTAATACATGAAAAATTAAGACGAAAAATCTTAATAAACATAGGGTCGCAAATGCCTCCTTAACAAGATACAGGGCGCCAAAGTTTCTGTAAAATTAAACATTATCTGCAATAATTCCAAAATACCTGAACATTTCTATTTCAAATTTGCTACGCGTAGGTAGCACCTTAAGACCAATGTTTGATGTACTGCTCAAAATTTTATGAGCAGCAGTGTCGTAGAGACGGGGTCAATATGATCCTTTTTAAAAATATTTTTTACGCCACTGCTAATTTTGTCAAATGGACACTATTTTCGTTTAAAGTGTTCAATTGTCTATCGAATTGGTCTCTTGGCAAAATTTTGATTAAAGCTACAGTTTTTGAGTAACTTAGGTTTCAACTAATTTTCTAAGAATGAAATAACGTAAACAATAAACAACAAAAAGGATGAAAACGTAATGATAAAAATTGTATAACTGGAAATAATGTAAAATATAAAAGTAGGTACCTACTGGAAGCGACCACCTAGTGATTCGACACACGTTTCTACTCTCTGAGCTAAGGATCTTCTTATTCTGCTTATTCTTTCAATAATCCCGGGCGTATTACGAATTGTTTGAAAGGCTTGTTGAATTTGTTGCCATAATTCATCAATCGAATTTACTGGAGTTACGTAACTCAGCTCCTTAACATGACCCCAAATGTGGAAATCTAGAGGATTTAAGTCCGGTGAACAGGCGGGCCACTGGATTGGACCACCACATCCAATCCACCGTCTAGGGCTAGGGTATGTCATATTTAAATAATCTCCTACTTGTCGTGCGAAATGTGCCGGAGCACCGCTATTTTGAATAGCACAAGCTTACTATGCGAAACAAAAATGAATGAAAATAAAATTGGATTCACAAATTTTCTGCAAACTTGTTTTCTTAAAAATGGTTGCTTTAATCAAAATTTTGCAAGAGACCAATTCGATAGACACGAAACACTTTACACGAAAATAGCATCCATCTGACAAAATTAGCAGTGGCGTAAACATATTTTTAAAAAAGGGTCATGTCGTTGACCCCGTCTCTACGACACTGCTGCTCATAAAATTTTGAGCAATACGTCAAACATTGATCTTAAGGTGCTAACCATGAGTAGCAAATTTGAAATAGAAATGTTAAGGCATTTTGGAATTATTGCAGACGTTTAATTTTACAGAAACTTTGACGTCCTGTATCTCGTTAAGGAGGCATTTGCGACCCTATGTTTATTAAGACTTTTCGTCTTAATTTTTCATGTATTATCTACCCTAGAAGTCTGTCAGCGGTTTTTTGAATCACACTGTATATGCCTACAGAAAAGTCCGCGATGGCATATGTCTATATGTTAAAGATAACATACTACCTATATCCATTTTAATACTTTAAAAAATTGTCAATTATAAAGCGGTAATGTAAAAGCTATTTACACAAATATTAATCCTTATCATTTTAAATAAGTTAGAGGCTTTAAGCATTTCATGCACATTATTTTACTCTTTTACACCATATAATTTAAATGAATATATCTTAGGAGTAATCGCAAAAAAATTGCGGCCGCGAGACTAAAATTCAAGAGCCCCGCTTCGCTTCGTGACCGACAAACACAAAATACCTAGACTCCAACTTTTTTAACCTGGGTGACCACCCCAACGACATCTCCCCCTCCCCTGCCCGCTAACCTTTTCTGTTTCGGAGACCACCAGGATCAAGAAACGAAGACAACGACACACATACACACCCCCCCATACCCTCCTTATCCCTTCCCACCCGCGCCAGCCTAAGGGCCACCTTAGCAAAGCGCACCCCTGGCTGCATGGCCGCACTACCCTACCCAACCATAAACATGACACCACCCCCGGGGTTTACATAGACGAACCGGCGAAGCAAGAAGAGCGCCAGAAGAAAGGGCCCTAGCCGGCGGGGCCCAGCCAGGACAAAAGGAGGTCCCACAAAGCGCCTACACCGGCCGCATTTGCGGTCGGGGTAGACGACGGATGGGGCCCACCTACGAAGGCTGTCCAGGCCTACACGAGATGAGGCAGGATAAAGAGGGATAATCCCCCTCGATCCCAAATCATTGAGGCCAATTTCTAGCCATAGAATAATGGCGCGNTGGTGGAATTGTGTATCTTATATATGCCTACAGAAAAGTCCGCGATGGCATATGTCTATATGTTAAAGATAACATACTACCTATATCCATTTTAATACTTTAAAAAATTGTCAATTATAAAGCGGTAATGTAAAAGCTATGTACACAAATATTAGTCCTTATCATTTTAAATAAGTTAGAGGCTTTAAGCATTTCATGCACATTATTTTACTCTTTTACACAATATAATTTAAATGAATATATCTTAGGAGTAATCGCAAAAAAATTACGGCCGCGAGAATAAAATTCAAGAGCCTCGCTTCGCTTCGTGACCGACAAACACAAAAGACCTAGACTCCAACTTTTTTACCCTGGGTGACCACTCCAACGACATCTCCCCCTCCCCTGCCCGCTAACCTTTTCTGTTTCAGAGACCACCAGGATCAAGAAACGAAGACAACGACACACACACACACATACACATCCCCCATACCCTCCTTATCCCTTCCCACCCGCGCCAGCCTAAGGGCCACCTTAGCAAAGCGCACACCTGGCTGCATGGCCGTACTACCCTACCCAACCATAAACATGACACCACCCCCGGGGTTTACATAGACGAGCCGGCGAAACAAGAAGAGCGCCAGAAGAAAGGGCCCTAGCCGGCGGGGCCCAGCCAGGACAAAAGGAAGTCCCACAAAGCGCCTACACCGGCCGCATTTGCGGTCGGGGTAGACGACGGATGGGGCCCACCTACGAAGGCTGTCCAGGCCTACACGAGATGAGGCAGGATAAAGAGGGATAATCCCCCTCGATCCCAAATCATTGAGGCCAATTTC